CGGTGCGTGCACCCAGCACATTCCACGGGCAGGGACGGGTTTTCCCTGGCCTGCCAGCCTGCCTGTGGCACAATGCCTCTCCTGAGCTGCCTCTCCAGAGGCTGCCTCCGTGCTGGCTGCCCTGAGCAGCTTCCATGGAAATGGGCCGGCAGCTGCAACGGGGAGATAAGCGCCAGCCTGGCTGTGTAAACTCAGGGGTCACAGCTGCTGCATAATGAGCAAAGAGTGAGTGCACAGAGCTGCAAGCCAGGTCTGAGGGGCTACAGGAATGAACTGGATCCATTACCAGCCTCACATTGTCCTACTCTGGGCTTTAGCTGTGTTTCTGCAAGGAAGCAGACATGCTGTAGAGTACTAGGACAAATGTGTGTTTTAAACAATGTCTGTCTTAAGAAAAGCAAACATACTGCTTAGTGTGAAAGCAGCTAAGAGCCTGGAATAAACTCTCAGATTAGACACTTCCATAGACTATAAATCAGCTGGATTGTTTTGGTTTGACAACTTTGTTGCAGGAGCTTTTCCACTGCTTGCTAAATAGGGAGAGAGTGATTGCTCAAGGTTTCATTTGGTTCAGGCTGTTGAGACACTAAATGACCTAACAGCATCTGTGCATGTGTGATTACTCAAGTGAATGGCTGGACTGGGTCAGAATGTTGGGTTCCAGGAGATGCCTGAGATTAGCTCAGTTGGTTAGAGCATAGTGCTACTAACACCAGGGTTGTGGCTTTGATCCCTCTGTGTGCTACTGTTAAGTGAACAGTCGATGATCCCTGTGGGTCCCTTCCAACTCAGAACATTCTGTGAAATGAGAGGAGGGGGAGATTGAAGGAGTTCACCTTGTGTTTTCTGTTTGGGGGTTCTAGCCCTTCACACAGACAGACCTACACAAGAGGCAAGGGCAGGCTCGGAGAGAAGACACAGTGGCCATGTGAGAGGCCCTGCCTGTTTGCTCGCAGCTGTTTCAACTTTAGTCTAAAAGCTGGAATCCTGCTCTGGGGTTGATGACAGGTGGGATATGTCTAGTCTTAGCTACTCATTTAGGCCCTCTCTCAAGTTGGGAGTGGGTGCTTCCAGGCTCAGATCATGGACCCCAGCATGGGACAGCTTGTTCTTCACTGGCACGTGGCTTCAGAGGCAGCACGTGAGTAGCTCAGTCACGCGAGTTCCTGTGGCAGATGCAGCAGGATCGTGCTTATGATGAGAAAATTAGATGTAGTCAGGCCTGTTTTGAAGTGAACCTTTCCCTGTGTTCCCACTGCGCCATCCACACCTGTGGCAGTGTTGGATTGCTGGTCAGCAGCGCCCTCTTCCCTCCTTTGCTCACAGGCCTGCGGTGGTGGACAAGAAAGGAGACCTGGCGACACTCAACGAGGTGGGCTACCAGCTCCGCATCTAACAGAGCCATACCGGACAGAGGGCTTCCTGCTGCTTCCCACTGCACTTTACCTGCACTCCGTTGGAAGGGAAAAGGAATGGGACTATTTATTAATTTATATACTCCCACAATAAAAGTTTTACCTAGAAAATAGAAGGGGGGATTTTTTTTTTTTTTTGGTGGCAGTATTTATTTCAATTTATAGAAAAGGCATCAGCGAAGAGAACCTAAAATTAGGTTTGCCAGGATAGGAGATTTTTCTTCCCCTCCCATCATGTAGCAGGTGACTCCAGTGGTGTGAGTTTCTTCAAATATTATTTCTCTGTACAAGTGTTAATTGAACTTGGCATTGTGCTGGGTGGTAGCATTGGAATAACTAAGGAATCTTATTCTTAGTTTTAAGATGTGCTGGGGTGCAGTGCAGTTAAAAGAAAAATCATATTCAGTTTTAATCTTTAATTCAGCAATAAAAGCAAGCAGTGCAGAAGTGGCATAAGTTTTTAAAGTATCAACATTACCTCACTAGACTTAATAGATATGCAAAACTGTCAGTATTATTGTTTTCTCACTAATTTGTACTGTCTCCCAGCATTTCTGGTAGTATTAAAACAGCACTGGATATTTTACTGCCACCTATATTATTATTTTCTGCATGTTCCTGAAAGTTAAGTAATAGTAATATGCAAGTGTATTCTTATACTGACTTCTTATTAGGTGAGATACGAGGTTTTGGGTTTTTTAAATGATGACAATTGATGAATAATGGATTTTTAGACTTTCATAATTTTTTTTATACTTTTGTCACAAGCTTTTAGTCTTTTCTGACTCCACTGCTAAAGCACAAAACGTAGAGACTGCTGCTTTGGAGAGACAAGTGTTCACTTATTAGTCAGGTTTTTTTCTCATGTGTGTACCTGGAATAATGGAAAAACTGTCAAAATTGCTAACCTGAGTCTCTGTGCTTTTCTTTCCACATTTGTGTGTAAATTTGAACCTTGTCTTGGAAAGGCTGAGCAGTCTCCAATGCTGATGCTTTGACATTTTACAGTAAATCAGCAATGGCAGGCTGAAGTTAACCTGCTGTGCTGCTGTAGGGGTTTTTTCCTACATGTGTTGTAGGTCTCACTGCTGAGTGAAATCTGAATAAGGAAGTCAGCCTGAAATAGCTGCAAATCAAGCTTTTCTGCTTTCTTCCAACTCAGTCCTTTTGTTCTAAGACTTGTCTAAGGACCTGTGATGGACAGCAGCGTTCTCAAGTGACATGGTAAGACTTACTTGGGTCCACCATTCACATTAGTGAAGTTCTCTGGAAGAGTTTGAGTGCTGCATTCCTGGAAATATTTCATTAGGTGCCTAAATATAAACTGGATTATTGTGCAAGTCCAGTCTCTACCCTTTGTCCTGTGCTTATAGATGATACTGCCATGGGCCTTGTGTACCTCCCCTCCTGGGCACTTACTTTTTTGGGATCTCAGTGAAGACAAGATGTTGTAACAGACAATAATGCTTATTCAAGCGGAATGATTTAAGCTCCTAGAACACTTCTATCAGCCAGCAAATGAACACAGAAGGAGACAATTGCTTCTACACAGACCTCATTGCTCAAAAAAGTCAATGAATTTCACCTGCCTAGGACAGGAAGAAAACACCAGGACCCTGCAACCTTCTGCAACCAGTGAAGGCTTTCTACTAATTAGACTTCAGAAGGTCTAGGAAGAAAACCTTTCAAATGTATGACACTTCTTTATCCAAGTTTACCATATCAATTACAGGGAGGCCTTTCCCATCCCTCTTTCTGTAAACTTTTCCACTCCCGTGTTCACAATAGGGATTTTTTTGGTTAAGGAGTGAAGCTGCAGAGAGGGAAATACTCTTTTAGTAGAAATTATTGTGTAATTTGACATCAGCTGCAGAGTTTCAGTTTTAAACTTTGTGCTGCTCAGTGTCTTGCGACTTAAACAATGTTTTTTTCATGTATTCCTTAGAATTTCTCATGGATACAGTGATGTGGAAAACCTTTTGATCAGCTGTATCCTGTAGCACAAGATTATCTGATATGTGACAAGTTTTTTCTATGAAACCATGGTTTACTTCAGCTCAAGTAACGTCTGTATATAGTTTTTACTATTGTCCAGCACAATTTATTTTCTCTTAACTTACACTGAAGCTTTTTAATGCTGTAGAGGTGTATGACAAAGTGCTTTTGGTTCTTGTTTTGACGTTCAGCTGAAATATTCTCTTGAAACTTGCTTATGATGCCATTTGTCTTAAGTGTGGTTCAAGTGACAGCGAAGTGGTCAAATAGTGTAGAAAACATGCATGACTTTTTGGGCTTTTTTTCATCACTTGTATATGCACAGCATGAAACTTCAATAAAAATATCATTGTAGCCTTTTTTTTAAATGACTTAAGTTTTTTTTTTGTTCTTGCTCTTAACACAGACTATAGGAGTTGCTACAACTGAACCATGTTTTTAGCTGTAACCTGGATGTACCCAGAAATTTGTTTCATCTATTTAGGTATGTTGGCATCTATGAGGTTCAGCTTTGGGATTACTCAGATACTTGCAATCAGACAGCACCCAGTATCAAAGGGGTAGTCATCTTCAGCATTAACCTGACTGTTAAGAGGTAGAAGAAATATCTTTAACTGATACTGCCTAAGAGAAAAATAGCCCCCCCCCAAATCTCAGCAATTTAAGCTGAATGTTTTGGTAGGTAGTCACATTTTGTCATGGAACACTTGAGGAACCTTTTTAATTCAACTGGTTTTGTGATTACTACTGCTGTACTGCCTGCATTATTCTCAGAGCACAAAGTAATTGCAGTTGTTTGCCTGCAGTCGGGAAAAGGGAACACAGAGGAAAATTCTACAAGCGCTCCTGGGAGACAACCGCATCTGATTGTGATTTCAGGAACGTGGGTGAAGGTTTTCCAGCACTACACTGAAAGGCAATTCTGTTACTTTGAAGTTGGTTCTACATACATATCCACATGTAGTTTGACCAAGTTATAGGACTTGTTTCCAGCCCCTGTAAGTTTCCTATGCAGGAAGGCTTTGGTGGTTTTTTTTATTACTTTGTAAATAGTATTTCATTTGGCACAGAATGTTTGAGTCCATCATGACAATAAAGTTTTACTCATTTAATACCTTAGGATCTGTCATTTCAAGATACAACCTGACATTTTAAATAACTAAATGGAAAAAACCCTGTACTCCAGTTGTTCAGTATGTACAAAGCCTCATGATGTCAAGAACTGATTTTTTTTTTTTGTTCCTATAATAGATTAATTAAGTTTCCTGTAAGGTGGTGTGCTCATTAAGCTTGGTTTTATTTCAAATATTTTTAAAAAGATTCCAGTGAATGCTACTCATATTTAAGCTTTTAGAATTTTAAGAAGCAAATTCCGAAAACATAAATATTTGCCTTACTGCAAAGCTGTCTTCTTCCTTTGAAAGTTCAGTGTTGCAGCCTCTGCCCTGACTACCCTCTAAGCAAATTCCTTTGCAGATATGTTTAGACAGAAGTGTCCAGAGCACCTTTGTAGTAAGACATTATTTTCAGCTCATTATAGAAAATCACAGCCACACAAACACGTTCCCCTTTGATTGAAGAATCACACAGTTCTTAAAACAGTCCTTTTTACTATGATTTACAATAAAAACCATTTACAACATCTCCATGAAAAATAATGCCATTTTGAGTCTGACACGGATGTTTTCCTTTATCAAAGAGAAAGTTAAGGTAAAATCTTTTCTTTTTTGCCTTAAAGACTTCATAAAGTAATTTAAACATTTCAAAAAAAAAAAAAAAGTCTCTTAAAAAAGTCTACTTTACACAACACTAACAAATCTGCATGCAGGCAAAGTTATTTAAACCGGACCAGCAGTGCTTGAATTAATCTTTAAAAAAAAAAAAATAATCATCCCATGAAGAGAGAAGGTGAAGGTAACTTTACCTAAACAAAAAGTCCTTTGGGTATTACCGTTCAATAAGCCTGAACTCTGCTAGCAGTGGCAGGTGGTCAGAAGAGTTATTTTCATTGGGAAGACCATTAACAGTCCAGAGATCTTTCTCTGTTAGAAGTGCCAGCCTGCCAAGAAGTTTCAGACCTCCATGAAAAGAATCCTCTGCTCCTGGTTAAAACAAACAAAACACAACAAAAGGAAATGTTCATCAGTCTGGGCTAATTATCATACATTATACAGATGTAGATAAAGGAAAACAGTATGGCAGCAATAATCTGAATTATTATTGTTCCATGCAAGATCACCACTAAGTTCAGAAATTCTTCTTGTTTACTATGACTTTCACAGTAGAGCTTATAATTAGTAGAGCTCCCAGTATTCAGAAGGACACTATTTTGTGGAGAGATAAATTGAGGTAAAAAAGAAAAGGGATTTATTTGTTCATTGTAACTCTCCTGAAAAAAGCCTCACATAATCCAGTCCTATACTTTAGCACAACAGCATTGCAAACAGACCTGACCCTTGCAAAGTTAATTATCTTTTTCAAGTTACTGATTCACATGACATTTTATTTCTGTATTCTCAAGCACACAGTTCTCCAGCAGTCAGGTCATACAGAAATTCTTACTCATAAAGATGAAAGTCCTATAGCATTTCCCTTTCTAACTGTTCATCATAAGAAAGGGATCTTCCTCCATTATTTCCTGCTACCTACTTCTGTAATTGCCCAAGGAACACCTGCTCTCCAGAGGAAACACCATATTGCTCATGCAAGAGGGGAAGGTGACTCACAACCTTGTCCTTATTACAAAATTATACAGAGTGATTTGGGTTGGAAAGGACCTTAGAGATCATCTCGTTCCCTATCAACCCTATCCATAGGCAGGGACACTTTCCACTGGACCAGGTTACTTAGAGCTCCTTTCAATCTGGCCTTGAACACTTCCAGGGATGGGGCAGCCACAACTTCTCTGAGCAACCTGTTCCTGTGTTTCACCACCTCACTGTAAAGAATTTCTTCCTAGTATCTAATCTGAACCTACTCTCCTTCAGTTTAAAGCCATTCCACTGTGTCCTATCACTAACTGCCCTTGTACAATGTCCCTCTGCAGAGCCTTCTCTTCTCCTGGCTGAACAACCCCGACTCTCGCAGCCTGTCTTCACAGGAGAGGTTCTACAGCTCACTGATCATCTTCATGGCTTCCTCTGGACTCACTTCAACAGGTCCACATCCTCTTTATGCTGGGGGTCACAGAGCTGGACACAGCATTCCAGGTGGAGTCTCATGAGAGTGGAGGGGGACAATTACCTCCCTCGACCCACTGACCATGCTGCTTTTGATGCATCCCAGGACAGGGTTGGCTTTCTGGATGCAAGAGCACACTGCAGGACTGTGCTGAGTTTCTCATCAACCAGCACCCCCAAGTCCTTCTCCTCTGAGCTGCTCTCAATCCATTTATTCAACCCCACCCTCATACTAAAGTTCTCCTGACCCAGGGGTAGGACCTTGCTGAACTCCCTGAGGTTTGCAGGGGCCCACCTCAAGCCTGTCAATGTTGTTCTGGATGACATCCCTTCTTCCAGCCTTTTGACTGCACCACACAGCTTGGTGTCATCAGCAAACCTGCTGAGGGTGCACCAGATCCCACTGTCCATGTTGCTGACAAAGGTGTTAGATGGCAACAGTCCCAGTACTGATCCCTGAGGAGTGCCACTCATCAGTGGTCTCCACTTGGACATCGAGCCATTGATTCCAACTGTTTGTTTCCCACCAATGCTCAGTGTGGCTCACCCATCAAATCCACCTCTCCAGCTGTCTTGCTGGACTGTGTAAAATGCTTTGCACAAGTCCGGGTAGATGGTGTCAGTTGCTCTTCCCTTATCCACAACTGCTGTAACCCTGCCAGGGAAGGCCACTAAATTTGTCAGGCACAATTCGCCCATCAGCAAAGAGCAATCGAGAAATTCCACTGAGATCCTTGCATGATGTGTCAAACTTTTAGACTTCTTAAGCTATGTAGTAAGACAATTATTCAGCAACCCTAGCTATGGCCTTCGGAGCACAGAGGTGATACTGAGTCAAGCTGAGCGCCTTCAGAACCAGCACAAACAGCAGCTGTAACTTTTGACAGAAGTACTTTCTGCATGAAAGTGATCAGCAATTTCAGAACTTCCTGGCTGAGCCTGGTGCTAGCTTACCATAAAACATACTTTAAAGGACTATCCGGCAACTGCTAAACTCCTCAGATAGTTCCAACAGCTTTCATCCTTTGCCATCTGCCAGCTTTCCAGCCCTCTAACAACCCAGCAGCTGCCAACTGCTGCTCTAAAGAACAGCTTTATCACTGCAAAGATGTCTTGGCAGCTCCAGAGCACACATCCACATGGGTCTTGAGACAAATTTATCATCTGAGGCAGCACCTGCATGTCTACAAAGGGGCAATTTGTTGCCACAGAGCTTGGTCTGTGCAGTGATTAATGTCAGCTCAGAACACTCTGGAACCAGCAAAATCGTGCCCTGCAGGACTCGGGTAGATACTGAACCCTGATTATGTGCAAATCCTGAATACCAAACCAACTACTTGGCTAAGCATGACAGATTAAAGCATAAAAACTTTTCAAAAAAGCCCCTTAAAAAAACCCCAACAACAATCAGTCAACCCAGACCACATTTTAATATTCACTTGTTCAGACTGTGGCAACTTTTAATACAGAGGCCCATTAAAAAACTGAAAATCTAGACCATTACTTAGAACTAGTGATTTAAAACTATACCAGTTTAAACTACTTGGAAAATTCATTCTGTACTCTGATGTGGGGAGAAGACTCTATTTGAAAAACAAGTGCAGAAAGAAAAAAGCGTTGTATCTCTTCTGGGACAATGATGGTGCAACAAAACACGTAAGCAGGTGAATTAGGATTAAATTTTGTGCAGAAATGCACTCTGAAATCACACAGCACTCTGTTAAATCACATGACATACAGAAGTCATTTAAACACTTCTCATATCTGTTTTTCAGTTGAAGCTTTTGTATTTGCTATTTTACATTAATACAGCATTTACTGTGCATGTTATGACAAATGAGACTTTTGTGAACTGACTCAATGAATTTTAACAATCAGGTATGAGAGACAAAGGTGGTATTTTCATTTCACATACCGAAAACAATGTTAATATATAAAAATCATTTGCAATCTACAGTGGGAGCAGGAATAGAATCCAGCTTTCATTGCTCCGAGTTCTGCAGAACCATTTATCTGATAGCACTGCACTGTGGAATGACCTCTGTCGATGGCATAAAACACAGAACTAATGAGGGCATGGGAAGCACACTGCTCAGAAGTACCCACGGTACGAGTACAAACACAGTAAAGGACAGATAAACACTGTGACTGTGTTTCCCATCATGAAATTCCCGCAGAGATACTGTGACTTTCTTGCACCATCTGGTGAGTTTTAGCTGCAACTGCAAACCAGAGAGGGACAACTGGGCACGTGCCAGGGACCAAGCTCAGAGCAAAGGCCACAGAGTCTGTCACTTGACAGAAATGACATCAAGACAAGCTGAAAAGTAAACTGCCAAGAAACAGGGTTTTTTATCAGTTTTAATGCACATCATAAATTGCTGCTTAGCATTTTGTTGATTAGATGATTGGAAATAATGCTTTGTTGTAGGTCTGGCCTGAGCTACTGACAGCAGTATGTTTCAGGTGCTACTTACATTGCTGCTTTTCTGTACCCTCAGGTCTTGTCTCCATGATGAGATGACAACTACAGAGATGCTGAGTTCGGTAAAACATTTTGCCCCGTGTGGCACTACAGGTTCACCTGTGGTGAGCTGACAAGGCCAGCATTCTCAGGGAGCAGCTGGCACTGAAAGCACTACCACGAACCTCTGAAGTGCTTCACACGGATTGAATCATCACTACGTTTCTCTTAGTCTCATTTAGCATTTGTGGAAAATAATGAGAAGATGGTTCCTTTACCTGGCTGGGCAGCAGTATCATCCTTTGCCGCAGAATAGAAAATATAATCCACAGTGACAGCACTTCGGGAATGACAAGTTGTTACTTCTGGCACCCCAGTTTCAGGAAGGTAATGAGAATAGACTGAAGACAATTTAAAATGGTGCCGCAATTTTGAAGACATCCTAAAGAGGAATCAAACAGAATAATTTTATTTTCTTGTGTGTCCTACGAGGAATAAGCAATGAAGAAATACCAAATAGTTCCTGGTTACAAACAAAATGAATTATCTGGATATGCAAACTAGTGTTTTTCTCATGTAAGCAATCCCATAGCCTTGTGTGTGAGTGGCCTAAACCTCTGAAGGCAAAATTCAGGCAGTATTTTCAAGGCAGATAAAAGACAAATACCTAAGAGCTTATCCAAACAGGCTTAACTGACACTTTAATTATAGGTAGCTTTCACCTCCACATACACTTGTAAGCATTCATGTGCTCTCATTCAGCAATCTCTCCCTCACACATGTAGAAATATCCAAGAAAGCAGCTTATATGAAAGCGACAACTCATATATGAACTGGGTTGAGTGAGCATCTTGTATCCACAACCAGAATCAAACACAAGTTTGGTCTAAAACCAAAACCAACTCCCAAGGAAGCAGCCAAGGGTTTCCATATTTTTCCCTAACACGTACTTTTCAGATGCTACTACGATCTCCTGAGTGTTGTCCAGTTTTGCTGCTTCCAATTTTTCTCCTGCAAAATAAAAATACATTCAATTTACATTTAAAAATAGGATATAGTTGTGACTAATATTGAAGAGCTACATACAGAAAAGCTACAGAAAAAAGTATCTGTAAGTACACTTATTTTTTGCAGCAGGAAAGATACAATTCACAAGACTGGATTGAATTCTTCTGTTCCATTAGTAAAATTCCCTCTAAAGACTCTTTTCAAATTATGTCCCATTCATTTAAAATTGTTTTTTCTGTCAAAGAAAAAAATGGTGGATGAAAAATATAGCAATACCCAACAAGGAATCACTTGCTTTTCCCAATTGCTCCATAAAGTGCCAACACTATAATACATAAACACTGCAGCAGAATGTAGGTTCACACTATGTACATGTGCTGCGTTCCTTCATCTCTCTCTTCCCAACCACAGCACAACTGGCTTTCATGATGCAAACACAGGAGTTTAAATATTATGCACCAAGTTCTGAATGGCAATTTATAACTATTATCTTCTAAAAGTTCAACTTTGCAAATGTTTATGTGAATAAATCCCTTTACACTCCAGTGAGCCCAAATAAGTTTTGCAAGCTCAAGACCCACTGCTTTTTCCCCACCAGAAGAGAACATCTGGCTTTCAGTGCTACCCGAATGATTCAAAGGTTCACAAAATTTGTCAACCCAGAAACTGACCTGCATTTTCTTCTTTTTGTTGCCGTTTTATTTCATATACACAGTTTTGTGAAATACCTAATTTTTTTGGCCAAATAGGGATAGATAAGATTCTTTGTCCCCTTGGAAACTGTTCTTGTCCAGAGACCTGAGAAAGACAACATGAGCTTCTTTTTAAACAGAAATCTTATTTAAGAAATAAAGAACCCCAAACAAACCTGAAGTAAGTGAACATTTTTTGTAAAGTTTAAAGTTTTAAGAAAAAAAAAAGACCCAGCCCCTCAGAATAATTTTTTTTATAAAGGCTTGCCAAATCCTTGTAAAAATACCACCCTTTATGTACATCTCCTTTGTTTATGCTTTGTAAGTTCTTTGCAGCTGCACAATTTTTCCAGATAGTTCTTGTGACAATGAGACTACTCAAGAAGACTTTTAGCAACGCAACAGGACTAGCTGAGCATACAGAGCTCCCTAGCTGACACTTACTTTAGCTTCAGGATGCTTATTCTTCTGGGAGCAAGTCAAGTCAAAGAGGGGTTTGAAACAACTCCCCACTAGCAAACACCAGGGGGGTATTTTTTTGTTGTGTTTTCTCATTGTATGTATTCCAGTTGCTGATAAATAGCATGTGACACATCCAACAGCTAGATACAAGACCTCACAACAAGACATCATTTAACACAAAACAGTTGAGGTTCAGCATCTAATTGCATTTCTGCTTTTACAATCATTCTAGACACCAAGTTTATCTAAAGGAAGAGTCATCCTCCCATGGAGTCCACAGCAGGTATTTGATTAAGTAGTTATTTTATCCCACTCAAAGACTGGGACACTTAAACATAGTGATACCATCATTCTGTGGATAACTACATTTCCCTGAACAACTGTTGCTGAGTTTTGCCTTTCAGAATACTGGAAGTGGAAACAATATTTCGTAAGGCACAGTTAATACACCCAAGCTTATTTAAGTCACTCCACAGTCACTTTTGCTTTGAAGGCTGTGTAGAGGGCACTGAGATAGGCACTGCAATGGAAATCATCACAGATACTGCATGCTAACACCACTCAAATATTTCTCCTCTTAACCTTTTTCTTTTTTTTGTGAGAAGTGAGAAGCAGAGCCTACCTTCCCTATAGCGAGTCCTTCATAATTTAACTTTCCTTCCCTTATAAATCTGTACAATGGAGAACCAGGAACAGAATTGAAGTCACCACAGATGATAATTGGGCAGAAGGAACCGTCCTTCCGAGGGGCAACACTCGCGATCTCTGCCAGGAGCATCGCCAGCTGGGTCAGTTTGATGTCCCCTCGCCTGGGGTTGTACAGCAGATGTGTATTGGCAACACAGATTGCAGCATTAGTTTTACAGTGAAATCTAGGCTGCAAAAGCAACACCAGTCCAACGTTGTCCCTGTCCAAGAGTGGAATATCACGGCGAAAGAATTCCACAGGGTTTGATGAAATCAGGCTAAATTTGGAAGTCTTGAAGCAAATAGCACAGCCATCAGGTTTTCTGCCTGTCCTCATTTTATACTCACAGTGATACCCTGCAAGAAAGGCAATTAAAAATGTAAAATATCATAGCATAAATAACGATATTAAAACAAAACAATTAGAAAAACCTCATGCTACTTTTCTCACAACAGCCAACACTCAGTCTGAAGTACCAAAGCCCATGTGAGGTTCACATAAAAAAATGAACACAAAAGTCTTTCTGTCCTATCTAAACTGAGACAGGACAAGATGCCTGGTCTAATACTTTTGTGAAGTATAAGCATCTACGTACTTTAAAATACCAGCCATGTTCTTCTCTCCTCATGTGGAAAAAAACCTCAAACCAAAACAACAAAAAAACCCCCAAGTCACATAAAAGTGGACTTGTGTATTGAAGATTTTTCCATGTTACCAGAATGGTTTAGGAATAATACCAGTGAAGCATTCCAGTCAAAAGCCTTAATCACTCTAAGTCATAAATCAATGTCTGAAATGATTCCTAGAAGAAAGGTCTCAAACACATTTACAAAATTATGTAATTATCCAGTTAGCAGCAAGTGGCAAGCTTTCAACAGGGAAACTGAGACACTTGTCAAATGACAGCACTGGAATTCAAACAAGTCCACCTAAAAATATTTGCCAATTTCTTCACTTTATGTAGAGATGAAACGTAGATATAAATGAGATCTTATCTATGTAAGGAAAATAATTAAATCTTGAACCGATGTCTAGTTTTTTGCCCTTTTGAAATACCTCTCTGTCCCGCTTGTACCATATGAATTCACGAAATACAACCTCAGTGAAGTGGGGCAAGTTGACCTCTGAGTTCACACCAGTGCTGGAACAGAGGATTCCCACTCCCCTCTCCCAGCTTCAGGCCATGTTGATCCTGCCACTTGTTGTGGCACTTACTGCTAACTCAGTAAGCCACCAGAAAAATAAAATCAGTCTAGATAGTATTCTGCTGGACTGGTGGATTTCACTGGGGTAGAAGTCTAGTGAGTGCCAGAACTAGCCCAGGAGAAGGGGCAGGACGTGCCCTGAGAGGTAGGGAGGGAATAGCCAAATCAAGCTCCAGGGCCTCATGTATAGTAGTGGGAAGCTCACTTCCCTTACAGTGCTGTGATTTAAATCAGTACTGCCATTCCTCTGCCTTCTTTGCAAACCATCAGTTCTGGGAGCTAGACTACCTCAACTAACGGAGAAAGGAAAAAGTATCAGTCCAGTGAAGCTCCTTCCCTGGCTCCTCTTGGTATCAGACAAGAACCAGTACCAGGATGACAGCAGGGCCCTGGGAACAGAACGTGGTGCAGGGCCCAAAAGATTTAGATCAGTTTAAACCACCATGGAATCAAACCCTTAGCAACACATTCCTTCCATAAATTTGCATGAGGGAGAGTGTCAAGACAGTGCTGTTTAGACTGACTGACAGCACTAGTATGGAAACCAATGGATATACACTGACCATGGATAAAATGTAGTGCTGATATTTGGAAGGTATCAAGCCAGAGAAACATGCCCTTGAAAAGCTATCCAACTGGAATGCTGGTAAAAAAACACTAAGGTAGTTTCAAGAGAGCACTTGATGAATTTATAGAAGGGGGTGCATGTAATGGCACGAGACTTGATTCTATAATCTAAGAAAGGTTTTTTTGAGGAAAATACTACTGGGGCAGGGGGGAAGACAATGTATTGGTCCTAAGAGTTTCATCATACCTAGGGATTCCAAACTTGACTTGATTTCTGTTCTATAGTGGTCTTCTTGGACTTCTTGTAAACAAAGCACCTAAGGCAAAAGTTTACAATTAAAATATATTATTAAGTACATCAAAATATTACCATAGTGTATCTTGTTGGCTATTGGCCAGCCTGAATAGGTATTAAAATAAATAAATCAGAAGCTTTTTGACTCCATAATCCCACAATAGGATTAACTCCCCTATAGAAAATGCTCCTTAAAATGATGAAGAAGACTCCAAGTCCCCCCACCCTTTCTCAGACGTATGTTTTCAGATGTGAGATTAAATTTAATCAAAATAATGACCTGCTGATACATTCTCAGCAGTTTAGGGGAGGGCTAAGTGTTAGAGTGCTTGGATGAAGAAGCCAGTGGCACACTACAGATCTGACAAGCAGCTTCCATATTACAAGAACCTGAACCAAAGATCCACCTCAAAGTATTCTATTAGAAGGGTTCTGAGCCTTCTCCCTGCACACCGCAGTAAGACACAGATTTACAACCACCTTGGGACTGTGATGAAGGACTAAGTTCCCAAAGGGTAGCAAGTAACCCCTGTTTGCTGAACTGCAGCAACAGATTCCACTTGCCCAGCTGACACGAGTTCTTCATTCAAGGTCCCAAGGGAGAGTCAAATCTCAAGCAACATTCTGAAGTCTTTGCTTCACTTTCAGGTTACAGTTCAAACCAATGAATTGGTTAAAAACCTATGTGCTTTAGCAAGAAATTTCTCTGTGGAAAGTGCACCTGCACCTACCATGTTCTGAGAGCAGCTGCTCACCACGACTAGTTCATGCAGTACCAGGCATCACCTCTTTACCCCAGTGCTGTGCTGGATGGCTCTGCAGACTTTAGCAAGTACCCTGAACTGCACTGCTCTTGGTTGGAGTGACTGGCTTCAGCTCCAACCCATCCCTCCTGGAGAATTGTCTTGCTGTCACTAACAGCACCAGGCAGATCCTCTCCAAAGTCCCTCTGCCTGATACTCCTCGCAGAAAGCCCTCTAAGGTATGTCATTGTAAAGATATATACATGCAGTATGTATAAATTTATTAGGAAGAAATGAAGAGTGTGAAGGGGACTTTTATTTCCAGAATCCTGGCTACAGAGCAACATAACTGCATTTCTCAAATGGTACAAGGCTGTTTTTCTATGGTTTCCCTAGTACAACTACTTTTTTTTCAGTACTGTTTTCTAGCACAAACAGATTGGATTCTATCACTGAACTTTTGCTGGTCTGAAGCAAAAAGTTTATTGACTTGACTTCCTGATTAAGACTAACAATGAGTAATGTGACCTCAAAACCAAACAAAAAACTCCAACCAACCAACAAAAACCAAACTAACCAAACCCAAAGCAAAGTGTTCTTCCAGACCCCGATATAAGGAGAATTTGCTACTCCAGTTTATCAGTTCTTAAAAAATATCCACATGCTCATTTTCTACTCACATCTGCATCCAGCTGTTTGATTTCTTGTAGAATGTTGGGAAATCTGTATGTCCAAAATAACAATCGCTGCCTGCAGTGTTTGTACAGGTGAGAGTTGTCTTCCAACAAATTCTGTGAGAGAATATTGTAGGACATGACCGTAAAGTCAAATGCTGCCTCACTTTCTTTATTGCTTTGGTCAGATTCTTTGTTTTCAGAGATTTTCATTGTTCTACTCTGCTGACAGAAATATTCCCAGTGTCTTTTGATGGTTCCTGTTAAAAGAACATGAAGCAGAAAAAAAGTTATGTAATGGACCATATGACTTCTTAATGCTCTTAGAAATCATTCTGTTGAATTTGTCTTTCAAATTGCTTAAGCAATTCTAAAAGCTTATTCGATGAGCAGTGATTTAGACCTTCTGTTTAAGATGAATTTTATATAAGCATCAGAAAAAAAAAAATCAAACAAACAAAAAACCCCAAGCCCAAAATACAGCACAAAACCATTCTATGCCCTGGATTTCAACTGCTTTGCAACTGGGGAACTGGCCCTTTTCTAAGGAGATTGTTGCAGTCAGGTAAGACTCCCCTGTTCCCTGTAGAAGGGCTGTCAAACTGGTAAGCCAAATCCAGTCTGCTGAGAGACTTATGCTGCCTTCTACCCCTACCTCCTCAGCAGAGACAGTGTATGTCAGTCCAGGATACACTCTTTGGAGCAGCATATGGGCATCTTGTTGATCCCTCTATCCATGACTAACAAAGGCTTAGCAATCAATCAATCAATCACTCACCTCTAGCCTCTGTAGTCTGTAAACTTCAGCCATAAGCTGCAACAGGGTCCACTACAGGGGTCCCAAAACAAATAATTCACCCAATCTTCCTCAGTGAGGTTAGGAAATTAAAAAATTAACAAGCCTCAGAATTACCAAGAACTTCTGAAAAGGCTTACTTTGCCTTTCTGCCATTTCTAATTTCATACTTATTAACAGTATCATGATATGAAAATTTATAACATACCCACCCATCATTAAGCATCCAATTACTTTTTAAAATATGTGTTTCTCCCCTTACAAAACTCATGAACAGAGATGCCTTTCAGCCTTTATAGCTGAACTCATGTGAGAGCAAGCTAAGGTCCAGTTACCCGTGATACCAACCAGTGGCAGACTGCAGCTATAGCTGTTACCATCTGCCCTATCTGGGCAGTAAATCTCATCACTGTGCTTATATTATTCAGGACTTTATCTAGTGTTTGCAATGAATGCAGCAAGGCTTTAAGTACCGTTTCTACTGTGGGAGAGAAGCCCCACTGCTCCTCAGCAGGCACCTTTAATTACCATCATCTTACAATATGTGAACCAAAGGTAACCAGAAAGGAACACAATGCTAATCATGCTCTCAGATAAAGGAGGGTTAAGAGAGGACTCAGCAATTTAGGCACAAAGCAAACTCCGTTCCTTCAGCTGCTAAAGATAGATATGATGTTTCTAAGCCTTATGGATATTTGTGTAGAAAATTCCCTTTGGGATGCTGATAGCATCTGTTCCCTTTTCAGCTGTAATACACCTTCCAGTTTATTTTGCTAAGGAAGTGATTTATACAAGAGGGCCACAATTTTGTCTGTGTCCCTCTCTTTGCTCTACAGTAGACAAAACTTAATATACACAAAACTCAGTAAAATATTTGAATGCTATGTAGAGGGTTGTATCTGCAATAAGGTAACACAGACACTGAAGTTTCATTAAAGTCTGCTACTGAGCTGGGGAGACAATTCTGCACTTCTTACTGTATTAATCTGGATAAATGCACTTGCTTGCTCTGCCAGACATGGTCTGACACAAAACTTGCCAACATGCCGGTGGCAGAATACAACTGTAAACACAAAGTCACACAATCACGCTGGAAGCAAACCCCATTAAATCTCAGTCCATTCATTCTCGGTTATCTAGGTCACAGGTAACCCAACTGGTCTGGAAAGAAACCAATTCAGGTCCAGCAGGGCTCATGAGCCCAGGTAGAGGACAAGGAATGAAGCCACACAACTGCCAGCCCAGCTCAGCCCTAGAGCAAGGCAGCCAAATCTTTCTGCTTTTACAGAGTTCCCAAGTTAACAGCCTTGATCAGGTAGCAGATACCTGAGAGTTCTTTGAACCAAGCTCAGGACTCCCCAGGCTGGGCAATCCCTCATCTAACTGACAGTGTTCTACTGCCAAATGCAGTCAACCTGGTTCTAGTAGACTGTTTGACAGCACAAAATACAGGTTTACAGACTAAATAGCATTTCAAAACTGGAACATTTTCAAGACAGATGTTTTCACGAGAGGGGGTGCCAAGAAAAACAGTAACTAAAAAGAAGCAGGTAATATTGCTAAAAACTCCGTAGGTGTATTTAGCATTACAAATAAACAAAGAAAATAAGCAAAAAGCATCTTTTACCTTTCTTGCTGCTATGTTTTTCTTCATTCTGTGCTACAGAACGACATGATGCTTCCTTTTCATTAGAGAAGTTTGTTTCTTCTTCAGGAGTTGAAGTATCACGCTGGCCACTGAGTCTTCTCTTCTTTGTCAATGGTTCCTCTCCCTCAGATTTCATACTGGGGTTCGGTAGGTGAAAGCAACAACTTTGTGTGTAGTTATCAAGATGCCAGTTAGAGTTCTGAAATTGCCTCCAAGGTCCAAGAAATGGAGGGAGTCTCCAGCTTGCTGAGAAATCAGCCGGGATAGGAAGTGGAAAGGAGGCCCAGGGAGGAAAGTGTCCGGCCCATCTCATACAGCTGGAAACTGGGCTGTTCAAGGCAAGGATCTGGGAGCCATTCCAGTGGGTGATCCAGTCTCTGCCCAGCCTCTGCACATGGCGGGGCAGCATGGAGTGTCTGTCAAAAAAGCACAGGTTTCATTACTTGCACACAACAACATCTGCCTGTAGAAGGCTGCAGATGCAAGTCATCCTGGTCATGGCTTACAAAAGATATTCCTTCTCTATAAGTTAACAAATACAAGATATTTAAACCTTTTTATATATATACAAGATACTTGCACATTTATCTAAATGATATGCAAAGTGGGACTTTACAAAGTAATCTTTCATCCTTCTTCCCCCTTCAGATTTATGAATGCCATTTAGTGTCCAAGCCCTATCCATCTGAATAACTATTTATTTTCTGCCTTATTGAATTCAACTGTCAGATCTTTCAAGTGCTCAGAGGACTGACCTTTACAAAAGGTCATTTTTGCATGCTGCATTAACTTTATCATAAGGCTATGTGAAAGAAATGAGAAAACCACTTTCCTTCAAGCTGTCAAAAATTTATTTAGAAAGCCACTGACTTGGCTAAAACCATAGTGCCAACACGACAGGGAAATAAAGGTACTAACTCTCATGGCATCTCTGGCACAAGCTTAAAAGTTAATTTATATTCTTATTTCTTTTCCAGGATGGCAAACCACAGCTTAGCTACTAAAGTCATGAAAATAGGGTGGTTTTTTCTTTTTCTTTTTTTTTCCAGAAGAAAAAAAAAAATCTGTCTCGACAAAACTGCAGGGAGAAAGGCTGACTGTCAATAATGTCTCAGCTTCCTCACTGTTTAAATAAGAAGGTGTATTTTGCCCTTAAAAGCGAAAGGTAACAAAAGTTGGTATGTCTGAAGTTGAATTGAACCGAGAACCTCCCAGGTGCCATTCAATCTGGTAAATAAGCTGAAACACAGAATCACTGAATCACAGAATACTCTGAGTTGGAAGGGACCCATAAGGATCGAGTCCAACTCCTGGCTCTGCACAGGATAGCCCCAAGAATCCCCCGATGAACGCAAGAGCGTTGCCCAAACACTTCCTGAACTCTGTCCGGCTTCGTGCTGTGGCCACTTCCCTGGGGAGTCTGTTTCAGCGCCCAACCACCCTCTGGGTGAAGAGCCTTTTTCTAATATCCAACCTAAACCTCCCCTGACACAGCTTCAGGCCATTCCCTCGGCTCCCGTCGCTGGTCACGGCACAAAAGAGATCAATCCCTGCCCCTCCTCTTCCCCTCACGAGGAAGTTGTGACTGCAATGTGGTCTCCCCTCAATCTGAACACACCGAGCGACCTCAGCTGCTCCTCATACGGCTTCCCCTCAAGGCCCTTCACCATCCTCGCTGTCCCCCTCTGGACACTGTAATTGCCAATGCAACTTCCAACACAACCAGCTTGTCCTGGAAGAAGCTTTTTCCGCCACCGCACACCGCATGCAGCCCGACAGACACATAAGCACAACACAGCCCCGGACACCACAGCAGTACGACGGAGCAGAGAGCGGCGCCGCTCCTTTACAAAAGCCTTCTGAAACACCTGTTTTACGAAAAAGCGCCGAGAAGCTGCCCCCTTCCAAAACCCTGACGCCACCGCCACCTAGCCCCGGCGGCGGAACCTCCCAGCCCGCGCTGTGTTTTGTTTACCGCGGCCCTGCTCGGCCTAATGGCGGGTGTTTGAAAGCAGCGCCCCCCGACCCCCATTACCTCCCGGCGGGCACAGGCACAGGCCCCGCACAGCCCCCCGAAGGGGTCACCCCAGGGCAGCGCCAGCTCCGCCCGCCGCGCTCCCGGCCGCCCCGCCGCCTCATACCCCGCTCGGGCGGCGGCCGCGCCCTCCCGCTCGCTCCTGGGACTTGTAGTCCGAGGGCCGGGCCCGCGGCCATGTCTGGTCCGGGAAGCCGAGGCCGAGGCCCGGCTGCCATCCCAGCCCCGGAACCCGCGCTCTCCTCTCGGGGCTGCTCCGGGGCAGCGCCCGCTCCAGAGCGCAGCAAAATCGCCATGTAGGCGGCTCGACTGCAGGCTTTTGAAGCATTTAAATGGACGTAAAACTGTGATCGTGCAGCGGTTTCTTCACCCAGAGGGTGGTTAGGCGCTGGAGCAGGCTCCCCAGGGAAGTGGTCACAGCGCCAAGCCTGACAGGGTTCAAGAAGCGTTTCGACGGTACCCTCAGGCGCCTGGTGTGACTCTTGGGGATGGTCTTATGCAGGGCTAAGGGTTAGACTCGGTGATCCTTGTGCCCTTCCAACTCGGCATATTCTGTATTCTCTGATAGTTTCCATAGGCAGTCTTCTCCCTGGGATCACCATGTGGCCCCGAAGGGTCAAAGGGACTTAAGGAAGAGCGGCCGTATGTTTAGAGGTGTCGTGGCAGGGCAGCAGCACCGTGTTTACTGTTTGCAGAAAAAAATCCAAAACCCACTCACCTGAAACAGTATTTTAACGTCCTCAGGTTTTAAAATGCACCTGCAGGTGCTCTGCCGAGGAGACCTGCCTGCCCTGCAGACGCCACGGAAGGACACACCGCTGCTTACCAGCTGCATAAACAATCCTCTGTGTCTGTCGATGTTGCTTGAATAAGCCGTTAAAATGCTTTCTTGAGGTCTTCTGAGGACAGAGTAAACGCTGGCTCTGTTTACTGTAAGGAAACATAGTACAGCACGTGAAAAATTATAGTGCTTCTTAATAGTGCAAATGCTGTGCAGGAACTGTAATCAAGTAAAATACTGCTTCTCTGCATTCCTTTTATTTGTATCATAAAAATGACTTTAAATAACACTTGACATTTTTCCAGGAGTGGTAGGGAAGACTAGAACGGGAATAATGTAGTGATGTTAAGAACGTGCTACTTAGACAATGTGTCAAATCCACTTTGAGTTTTCCATTTCTTGGACACAAGTTACTTATTAGCAAAAGGTAAAAATACCCATCCATTTTCTGTTTTGTTCTTTGCAGTGTAATAAGAAAGCAGAGCTACTAGTCACATAAGGTAGTCAAAGATCTCCCAACTGTATTTTCAAAACCTACTTATTTTTGTTGTTTGTTCTTTCCTGTTCTTTTGAATTATTCTTATGTGTTAGATATATTTCTAAGAAAAAAGTCAGTGAGCCATAGCTATAGGAACAACAAAACACTGCTGTTATTTTTAGGGGAAGAATCTTCACATACAGTGGAGTTATTTTCTGTATTTTGATCTGCACAAATCACCCAAGTTTCTCTGTCACTTCAGAAATTTTTACATAGTAGCAATACCAGTAGGGAAGGACTGAAGCTTTGGAGTTTTTTAAGTAAAGCCTTAATGAAAAGGAAGATATGCTGATAAGCATGACAGTTAATTGTGCAACAGACAAAATATTAGATAAGAAAAAAATTAACTTATTAATATGATAATATGATGGAAGATTTTCTTTTCTGATTTTGATGAGAGATTTTATTTTCTTGCCTTGACCTAGGAAGGTCTTAATAAGCCAGGAAGACTTAATTGTGGATTACTCTCCTCTAATCATTATTTTGTGTATCTCGGTTGGCTATACCATGTGAAAAGATATTCTTCAAAATTAGGTATCTACAAATTCTGATTTGTAAGTAGAAGCCAAATTATTTTATGAGTCATTTGAGCTTTTGAAACTCCCTAGTGAATGGAGGCAACTGACTCACCGAGGGATGCTTTGATTGATTACACTGCACATAAGAACAGCCACGGTGGTTCAGATCAATGGTCCACTGAGCTCAGTTGCCTGTTTTCCAAACGCAGTTAGCAGCAGATGCCTAGAAATGTGCAGGGGCTGGGCAAACTTCAAATGAACACTCTCCCTGCCTCTAGCTGTTTTCAGCTCAGTACATTTCCTAAGCCTGATGTCTTTGTCTCTTTAGTTACTCAATGATGCTCTCCCCCAAGGACTTGAATTTGCAAACTTTTTGCATCAGCAACGTCCTTTGACAAGAGTCCTGCAGGTCTGTTTTATTATTATTAATTTTATGACCTCATTCATACTAGCTTCACTGGCCTCATGTTAAGAGAGACTGAACAGTCCATCCCCATCCACCTTCTCCATGCCACTCATGATTTCACAGAGCACTACCATGTCCCCCCCACATTATTCCTTCTTCCATGCTGAAAAATGGAAGACTACTCCATTGCTCTGCATGAAGAACATCTCTGTTGATTTTTATTGCCCTTCTTCGTTCAGCCACGAACTTACACAGTTGCAATATACTGTTCTCTGTCTTGTTCTCCACTCCCACCTCTTCTCCCTTCCTACTCCCACCAAATTGCTAACTTCTGAGTTAGTTACACAGCATTTAAGGACGGAATTTTTTTCTCAGAAGATGCATCAGTTGTCTATTGAAATTTAAATGAAATCTATTACATAGTTCAGCAGGGATTTGTCAATGATGGTTTCAGTCCCATTGATTTCTGTTTATACCATTAAACCCTCACTCACAACTGCCCTATCTTACAAGGCATTACAAGCAAGTGCTGTTTCATAAGCAAGTTTTTATCAGAACTGGTTGTCCAGTCATGTTATTACTCTACAGGGTTCTACAAGGTAATTGATACCTTGTTTTTAGAGATAAAAAGGATGAAGAATCTTTCTAGTAACTGGCATTTTCAAAGTAATTAAAAAACAACAACAAAAAAAGAAAGTCAGGAGATGCTATAAAACTCCCATTTGGATTGTTTCTGTCCTATGATATGTTAGGAAGAGTTATTGTGTTCTCCCACAGAAAATGACCTTTCTCTGGGAGAGCACCATTCAAAGAAGCAGCTGTGTGTGGATGCTTGAACATGCCTGTGTGGAGCTCCTCTGACGTGACTTTGCTGGGCTCTCCAGGATCGTCAGATCAACTGTTTTGTGTCAGACCAGCACTGGGAGAGGAACGCCCTGTCCACTCGTGCCTGTGTCCCTCTGTGTGTTTGCAGAAGCTACTTGCCTCTGGTATGTAGGTTGGAATTTCCATTGTATTGAGATATGAATTGAGTGAAGGCAAAATTAAAACTAACACTAATGTTGTACTCAGTAGGAATAAGGATTGAGTTGAAACTGTGACAATACTTCCAAACAGCGTCACACTGAAGCTGCTTAGAAAGACTCATTGGTGAGCTTGTGCTTCCAGATCTGTAGAAGTGAGTCTGGTCTAGAACTCAAACCTTTCATTTACACAGTAATAATTTGGAATGTTGAAAAGATTCACAGTGCAGCTCAGTCATCCTCAAAGGAGAGGCACTTGCATACTGTGAGCTTCAGTACAAAACTCTCATCTTTTACAAATACATGCAACTAAGTATTTTTCTTTAAGTCAAAGACTGTAGTGCTGGGGGTACCCTTGAGCTGGACATGACCCATAGCTGAATTTTCCAATCTGATATTATATTTAGCCTGGTGTTGTATTTAGCCATATATCTGCTTATTAACCAAGATGCTATATAATCCTTAATAATGCTTTAGGAGTAGACATTTATGTTTGTTAGCACAGCATATTATTAATAGTAGGTAATGTCTATATGGTTTTAAATGTGCCTTTTTTCCAGTCAAGGCCATGAAAGCAGTAGGCCTCACATGGTTGCTGCTGGTTCATATTTGAGATATAAATGTAGCCACAGTTCTGTATTTAGAGACTACTCAAGGCCAGGGGGCATTTGATAGTAGTTGGTTCAAACTGACTCCTTGATTTGGCCCTGGGCCCTGGCCAGGCTACAGGGGAAAACTAAGGAGAGAATAAAGCCAGATTGTTTTCTGCACAAATTGAGTGATGTAAGCTTGCTTAATACTACATAAGCTGGACCCTCTCACAGCAAAGATGGAGGCCTTCCCTGCAAGTGGACACACTGCGTAGGAATTCCCAGTTACCGGGAAGAGGTTCTCCAGACCTTCACCTATGACTGGGGCCTCCCCAGCTGAAGTACGGTCTGGATGATGCTAAAGTATTATAGGGTAAATGGTGATGTATCTCTCTCTTAATCACTATAAGACTTTCTTTGTAGTAACGGTTAGATGCATTGCTAAGTGTATCCTTCCATAAGCCACTGTTTTTTTGTAATTCTTTACTGCTTTGCACTATAGTAAACTTATACACTTATTCTTTAAAGCTGGTATCTGTGTTCCCTAAATCCACCCTCATTCCCAAGTCAAAACAGATTGGCAAAACAAACACCTGCATGAGATCAGAGATATTAATAACCTGGTAATGAAAAGCTGATTTTTTTACATTTTCAATTAAATGAATGAAAACACAGTGATGATAAAAATAATCTTAACAGTTTATATACTCTGAAGTGTGAGATCTACATTGGTACAGATCCCACTACAGACAAGAAATCAAAGGTAATCTTACAATAGGAGAACATCTTGCAGCACAAAGTTGTGCTCCTTAGAACTGAAGGAATGCACCTCAAATCCTGAAGAGTTTCCTCGTGCTGAAGCGTTCTGCAGACCTGTGTGCACATGAGGGCCTATCCCCACAGAGAAGTCCAGGCACAGCTTAAAGAACCTGGAGAAGACACAACACAAAAAATGTGATGATTCAGTAACCATGAAACTTGCCTTTCTGGTAGCATTTCCCCTTAAAATCTGTGAGTCATTTCTGCTTTATAGGCCTGTGGATTTAGGGCAGCATATCTTAAAATAGCCCACGGCAAGCGCTGGGAGCGGCGCACCAGCGGTGTTGGTGGACGGTCTCATCTCGGATTTGTAGAGACCACGGGACGCCTGTGTTAGGAAGGGGCTCGGCGTTCAGCCTCTGCCAAGTGTAAATCCCCACGGCAGAGCACCTGGAACCTGCGCTGCCGCCGGGCCGTGACACCTCGGCCTCATCCGTGCGGTGCGGGCGGTCAGGCCCGGGGAAAGGCGGCCACATCCACGCTGCCTGTCAAGAACCAGGGGTAGCGAACCCCGCGTCCCAGACCATCCCTTCCCGTCCGGGCGGGGCTCCCCGGGCCGGGCCCCCGGCACCGCCCGGGCGGGGCGGGGCGTTCCCGGGCGCCGCTTCCGCCTGGGCCGGGCCCGGCGGGGGCAGCGGCGGGAGGAGGATGCTGAGCCCGCGGGAGCGCGGCGGGGACCTGGCCCGCTTCTACACGGTGACCGAGCCGCGGCGGCACCCCCGCGGCCACACCGTCTACAAGGTCACGGCGCGGGTGAGTCAGCGGCCGCTGCCCGGCCCCTCGCCCTGCCCCTCGCCCGCGCAGCTCCCCGGCCTGCCTGGTGCTCGGTCTTTTCGAGCCGCCGCTGTGTGCGGAATAGCGCCCGTGGGGATCCAGACGCGCCTGGCCGCGACGTGGGAGCCGCTGTCAGGGACACGGGTGGGAGGGAAGGTGGGACACGGCGGCCCCTCCAGAGCCGAGCCTCTGTCGCCTCCTGCAAACTTGGTAGCTTCACACAGCGTTGTAATGGCCTCAAAAGCGCTTTGCATTTGACTCTCAATTGCCTTGCTGTCTGGTGCAGGGCGTGCGGGGGTAGCTTAAAACCAACCAGCTCCTTCTTTTCCGACCCTCTTCTTCTGCCCCAGATCTCTTGGGTAGGTTGCAGTGGAATTGCCCGGCCTTCCTGCCGGCTCGGGAGCGGCGTCCGTGGGCTCAGCACGCCCACGCTGTCAGCGCGGAGCTGCCTGGGCTCGATGGATGGGCGGTGTGCGCCTGGGAGGGTCCGACCCCCGTCGGGCAGGAGGGGGCCTGAGTGAGTCAGAGAGGCCTAGCAGAGAAGAAGGAAAGCTGCTGCAGATAACTGGGTATTGGGAGAGCTGGTGTGTCAGCTTTGCTGAAAGCTCCTTCTCTTCCCCTAGGGAAATTCCTTGCTTTCTTTTCTCCTCCACTTTCCTATTTAAGCCAAAAAGAGGAAGGAGACTCAGTAAATATATGGAGATAGGCGCAAGAGGAGTGGGAGTTCAGCTCACAGGTATGGTGGGATATATTGAGATTATCCGAAAACATCACAGAGTTTATTGAAATGACCTGTGATCTTGTAGTTACTGCATCTGTAGGCATCCTGCTTGTAAGAGCAACATATGCTTGTATGCATCCTTCCCTTAATTCAAAATGTACAGCATTCTGTATGTGTATGACTTGTGAAGTTAAAAATATTTGTTAAATTTCTTTTTTCTGGTCAAATATATAAATATTCATATCCACCAAACATGACTATGTGACATGTTTAAACCATTCTTTTTGGTCCAATAAAACTTAGTATTTGTTAAGAGAAAAAAAAAAAGAGAGTTGTTTTCCCTGTGATGTTTTAATTTAAAAAGCCTTTCCTGAGATAGAGTCAAGGAGGAAAACAGTGCCATCACATCTTTATATAGTAGCTCATGATGGGCTAAATCTGTGTGTGTATCAGGGACTAATAGTAATGAACCAAGACTTCTGCTTATTTTACTGTGGTGACTTTGTTCCTATTGACTAAAGCTGGTTAAAATTCTCAGTGATATTTTGGTTTCTGTAAAATTGTTAAAAAACAAGTTATGGCTAACTAGTTAGGGGTGTCACTCTCTCTTCTCATCCCATAAGTTGTGGATGCTCTGGTGCTTTTCCAAGTGAGGCAGTGCAGAATCAGGTGGTGCACTCACTGCATGTGATTTGTTACAGAGCAAGGCACTGATCAGTCTGTGAGCTGTCCAAATTAAACTGAGCCGACCAGAGATCACTAGTTCTTTACTGTGTTTTGATAGCTAAAATCCTCAAAGTGGAAAATTGTTTTGCTTTTATGCAGCAAAAGATGGTTTGAATTCACAAATGTAGAAGTATAAATAACTTTTGTTTCAATAGGGCACCATCTGGTAATCTGTTACGTAGTGCTTCAAGTGAGGATTTGGGGAGTTAGATGCAGAACAAAATGATTTAAAAATAATTCAATGTACATATCAGGTACCCTGTCTTGTTCTTTCCTCCTATTCCTCCCTCCTGTTCCTGCAGTCATCTGGCTCCTTGGTTGATATCACAGCACTCCAGCTGTATTTGCTGATCTGATGCTCAGCAAGTTTGGGAACCACCAGGAAAAAAGTGAGGCTGATCTTCCAGTTGTGTTGAATATCATTCTGACTGAGATCTAGGGTAGTCAGTACGTGTTAGTGGAGATTTATGGTTGCTTAGCATGGTATATAAGTGAATCTTTTGTGAAATGAGATTAAAGGAACTTTGTGTTTCAATGTAATGACAAATAAATAATCATGGATGAGAAGGCACTTGTTTAGCATGTCCTGAACACCTGACCCACGGCATAACTACCCATGCGGTCTCTTCTGAGTGCTAAGGAGGTCTTGCAGCTTTTTCTTGAAGGTTTTGTTTGTTTAGCAGAGAATATATATTTTATTTACTTGTAAGCTGTGAAATAATTGTAAATGCAGACAAGATTAAATGAATATTGGCTATTTAATATCCATTTCCAAAGGCTAAGGAAGAGAAAGAGATATTAGCAGGTTGTGACATGAGGAGTGTTCTTTGATGATATCTGAAAATATAGGCCACTATAAAAGTTCAGCTAATTTGGAAGATTGCAATTATTAATGATAATTAAAATTCTAATGAGTTATGTTGGATATCTGCAGGTCAGACAAGGAATGGTATAATCTGAAATACTTTACTCAATGGTGAGGATCTTTGTAGGCTCTCTGTTTTCAGAGCATAATGCAGTAATTGTGCATTGCTCAGTTCATTGGTTGGTATCCTGGTGATATTTTTAAAAATAGGTTAAAGTTGCTTGCATTAAGGATTTGCGGAAGGAGCTGACTGCATTGATCCTCGTGGAAGGATTAAAAAAGGACACGGAAAATTTGGGGGATTGGGTCGTCTTTGCCAAGTCTCTAGGTTGATTATAGGTTGGATGGAAGGGGCAGACCTCTTCCGAGATGACTGACCTTCAGGAAAGGATATGAAGAACAAAGTAGGGCAAAACATAAATTATTACATACTGACTTAAAGTTGGCATGGCTGGTAGATATAGAAGGCGATGTAACATTAGAGCAAGTGTGAAACAGGGCCTCTGGGTTTTATTCCAGATTCTTACTAACTGGCTGGGTAATTACTCATCTCTCTGGGTCTCCTTCTGCCCATCTGGTAACTTACCTTGCTGCCAAAACTGTTGCAAGGCTTTAACTAAAGATGAACTGCAAAGCTAAGCAGTTGGTGTCTGCCCTTTGGTGTTCTTCTGTGATGTGTAGCCATACCTGTGATATTTTCATCCCCCAGCTCTACAGGCTCCTTATATGAAGTACGCCAGCTATTAGAAAAGAAGGTTAGAAATATTTCACCAATTATACTTATAAACTGCCTGGTAGTCAATGAAAGAGCAACAGCCACCAAGGTTAAAATTTGGAAAAGTTGCCAAATGTTAGATTGCTCAAGAGTGAGGAAAAGTTGAGAAAGGTTTTATCAAAAGATAGACTACGCTGGAAGAAGAGGACTTTGATGTGCAAGGTGAGAGAAAGAACTTAGACTTGTGAAGGAAAATGTTTCAGATCTTTTGGAGGATAGCTAGAAAAGGTAACACTTCTCTTTTCTGTCTTGCGTCCTCCAAAATGTGTGAAAGATGACAGTGGCTGGGCTGTGTAGTAAACTGATGGTATGAAATCTGGGAGGCTTTGACAAGGATTCTTGAAAAATGGAAGGGAGGAAGAGAACTAGTTTGTGGGGAATATAAGGGCATGTTACTGTGACTAATCAAGAGAAAAGTGTAGATTCAGTGACTTCCATCTCAGAGCAACAGCTACCTGGTGCTTGTGGTACAGCGGGATGGAGTGTGAGTCTCTGGGGTGCAAGTAGTGTGGACTCCTTGTGCTTGCCTACACGCATCACCTGTTCACAGCATCAATTATTCTGGGGTGTGCCACTGTGAGGATAGTCCCAGCTGGATTGAGAATGCCCTATTTTGCTTTAGCTAAAAATAGACTAATTATTTTGTTAAACAGCTTTGGCGCTTATAATGAAGGATATGTTGACATGCACAAGATAATTGCAGTTATGAATTAAAGATGTCTCTATTTGGTTTGTGTGTTTGTGTGGATATGCTCTTACTGCTGTTTATGAGACCAGTACAAAACCTGGATTGCAAAGGCTTTTGAAATCAATATTTATTTAAAGAAATAAAAAAAATCCTGACAAAATACAGGCGTTTTTATGGTGCGCAGCCAAGCCTCACTTTCAATGCAGTCTTCCCCTGGACAAAGTCATTTATAATTAATCAGGCAAAGAGTATTTAAGGAGAAACAAATATGCAAGGATGGAGTCAGATGTCTCTGCGCACTGATGGTTGTAAGTAAAGTGGAAATACTGTCTTAGTAAATGAAAAACCTCACATTCACAGTGAGGTGGTGTGCAGCTTATGTAGCTTTATGCAGGCTTTATAGCCTTAATGAGCGCTGCTGATTGGGAGGAATGTGACCCTACTAAGAATTAATAGTAAGAGACTGGAGAGATGACTGGGGATGTGCTCTACCTGGCTTTGTTTCGAGAGATGCCTTCTGTGCCATTTTGCCTAGAATGTGCATCTTGCTTTGTGATCACGACTGACTCTGCTGCTAAAATGTCTCACCATGTTGTATTTGGGTATTAGAGTTCTCTAAAACTACCTGGAAACTTTTTCTGAGTGTACAGGAACATGCAGCTCTTTACCTTTTTCCAGATTTTTCTCTTCAGCAGCAAATCATTATATGTTACTCTTTAACTTTCAAACTGAAAATCCAAGCACTTATTTTTGTTTGTTTGTTTGTTTTGCTTTTCAGATTGTTTCAAGAAAAAATCCAGAGGATGTCCAGGAGGTAACAGTTTAAACTTGTGCAAATGTCTTTATGTATCACACTATGCCTTTTGAAACATCTTTGATGTAATTTAGCAGTCTCTGTGTGTTTTGTCATTGTAATTGAGCAAACAGTTTTCATGTGTTTTCCGTTTGTCTTTAGCTCTCATAGTTGAAAACAGTAGCTGCTGTAACATGT